ATATATATATATATATATATATATATATATATGCGCATATATAGAAGCGTATGAATGCATTCTAGACCATTTAATATACTTACTAAATGCTTGTGGTACTCATTTTATATTGTCATAGTAAAAGTGTCAGCTGTATGGAATTCAATCAGAAAGTCTTGTAAATACTCCGTAGACAAGTCTATCAATTTATTTATGTAGGAAAAAATTATATTATATATATATATATATAAATTTGTTAAATTATACTGAATTTGTTGGACTAAAAAAATCTAGTTCAAATCAGAAAGATGAAATACATAAGCTTGACACGTAATGACTGAAATATTAAAAGGAGATTTTTTTGACTGAAGTGAAATTATTATTGCAAAAAATCTTAGATTTCTAGTAATATATGGTAAGTACAAGATTTGGTTGCTCCGTTTGATGAAGTTTAAAATCGTGAAAGCATACCATAAAACGGGAAATCTTTTTGTATCAGATTCAGATTTAGTATTACAGCAAGAGATCATGCGAACAATTTGACATATTTAATTCCATGATGATTTCTCAGTTACACTGAGATAATGAAAGTGGATAATTTCAGGATAAAACGATATATCGAGGGGCAGCAAGAGAACGATCCGTTAGTTAATCCAGTTGATAAGCGATGCAATCCTTGGGCTGAAAAGTCGAAATGTCAAATTCTATAATAAGGTTTTAATAATAATAACTGTTGCAGATTGGTGACGCCTTGATACCAGAAAATTCTTCGTAGATCTCGTACTTCATTTTGTAATTCATTCATTTTTTTTCCTTTTCTTTGTATGATTAGTTTTTGTATTATTTGGTATTTTTCATAAAATTTCATAAATTCAAAAATTTCACAAAATTAGTTACATAAACTATCTTCTGCATTTTCTCAATTTTGTGAAATTCCAGATGTTGATTATTCTCTGGAATTTATTTGAAGTTTCCTTTCAATCCTAATTAATCAGTATTAAGCTACACACTGCTTCAGATTTTCGAAAACCAATTATGTTTTACTTTACAAGATTTGTTTTTAAATTTTACTCATGTCCAGCAAATTCAAATTGGAAATATATTCATTATCCATATTTCACATTTACAATATCTTCACTTTTGCTTGAGTGTCAATAAAATATCAGTTTTAAAAGAATGGTTTAAAAAATCTTGCAGCCTGTACACAAGTACATGAAATTACCTGCATATTGCTAGTTTTAAACGATTTCACAAGCAAACAGAAATGTCACCTGAGCATTTTAGATTATCCAAAGAGCAAAATATTCACAAAAAGGAGTACAGCATAGCATTTTTCGGAATCTGTAAGGTCCGGATATTTTTATTTGGTGAAAAAAAAAGGACTTGCAAAATTTTATAATAAAACAATGACTAATAACGACTAAAAGCTAGGATTTTCTTAAATATATGCTAGGGGGTAGAGTGACCACTCTACATGCAAAAAATGACGACACTATATAAAATTCTGATGACTAATGAATTTTTCTAGACTACAAGTTCAAGTTTAAAATTGCTCATCGAAATTAGATAAAATACTCCTGCACTGAATTTTCTCTCAATTAAACCAAATTTATACAGTTAAATATTTGTTTAATCAAGTTTTGTGCGCGACAAAAATTGTTTTATCCTTGTTTAATAAAAATAGTAGTAAAACGGTCGAAATGCACAGTTTTATATAATTAAGCATACTTAACAACTACATTGATTTGAAATGATCTTATTATACATCATTTCATAAAGTGAGACAATATCAAAATTTGCAACCCATATAGTACATGAGAAATAAAAAGACATTTAAAATGTATCACTACAGTGAATCATTCACTAAAAAACAGAAAAGAACTAGAACGCTGGACGGTTTTGAAAACTGGAGATGACATGGTTATTATGCATAAAGTTTACATTATATTTCGCATGAAACTCCTTAATTCATATGGAGCGAAGAATATTCCTTACTTGAATCAAGAGAAAATTGTTTGTTAAAATTTTAGATTTTGGAATAATAATTTTTAGAAACGCAATTTTATCTATTCCCCAGCTATTTCATTTTCATTGAGTTGAATTTAAAACTTGATTTTTCAGAAAAATTTTTTTATTTTTAAACATAGACATCAGTAATCGTCAATATAATAGATCACTTCTTTTTTCCTATAATTCTATTTCTCTTATCACTGTACTTATGATGTACACACCACAAACCTACATCTATAATTGGGTTAGCTTGAGCTCACATACAAATTTATGGAAAAATATGAGAAGCTAAATGACTTACCTATCCCATTATATCAGATATATAAAGCATTAAAAGAATTCTGCACTCAATCCTTGAACATCAACAGTAGGTCATAACAATTTTGAAAACTTTGAACAAATGAAAAATAATCCACTGGTATAAAAAAATACAGAACTGATCAGTCGATAAGCTGCTGAAGCAAGAATGAGGAAATAAAACTGCTTCGGACAGCATTATGTCACCTGACTTTTAATTGTTGAAAACCCCAAACTGTTTGCCAAAGATATTAAAGAACACTTTTCTTAGAAGATATAAGTACTAAAAAAATGAAATTGTAATGTCAGGTCCACTTTTCTTACCACAAGAATTTAACATATTAAAATCAATTTTTCAGCCATAAACACAAATTTATACAATGGAGATAATGCAAGCCTAATACCAGAACGAAGTTCATTAAGATACGAGCTACTAACGAAGTAAAGCGAAAATTTACTCAATCCATTTATTCAAAACCTAGGATGAATGTGGCAACTATTTTAGGACGAAAAATTGGTACGCCAGTACTGTGGATCATGATGCGCGTCTGTTAATTCATCAAATCGAGGCGGCTGCTGCGAAGGAATTGCTTGATCAATTGTTGATAAAACAGAGACCGGTAAACTCATGCCTGCACTAAGACCTGCAACATTGAAATTTGTAAGTCACGTAAGTCTTGTAAGTCAAATTTCATTACTGATCCCTTTTCAATTACTGCGGTAATCTCCAGAATGAATTGCCAAATAGAAAAAGGAATTCTTTGCAGTGGAGAGCAAAGAAAACCAAGGCACAATATTTGTTGCAAAGAAAAACTTATGAATAATACTATTTCGATTTTCCACGAAATCCGATCTCTACATGCATTTGAGGACTAATGCTTGAGTGATATCAAAATGGAGAAGGAATATTTTCAAAAAATCAAACAAATTGAAAAGACACTGGTGTATTTTGACTGGCTAAACCGTCATTTTGGAACGGCCGATTGGTGGATTAACAGAACGAAATGGCTCGATGATTAACGTCATGAACTTAGTAAGGGTCATGTAAGTCATGTCTTAATGAAACACAATAGAGATATGTTCATTGAAGAGCAGGATGATTTTAACCAGTCAAACATACACACATAACACATTTGTGCATATACGATGTAACTGCAGATTGATCAGAATTATTAAAATCACCAGGTTGGATGGCAACCACTATACATATATAGTGATTGACCTCATGCAATATGGTGTGCAGCCAATTTCAGTTTTTTTAATGAAAAAAGTGGCAATTTTTTTGACAAGAGTGAAGGCAGTGATTGTGTCACAATGGAGAGAATTCTCATCGCATACTTTCAAAATTACCATAAAAGATAATTTGTAAGGGACCCACGGTAATTAGAACCGTTTCCACGTTTTTTATCTTAAATTGATAAGAAAGAAATTCCTTTTGGGCGGTCAAGCGAGACGGATCTTCAACCACTGACAACGCACAAGAGCTTCTTTTAATTAACTAAAGGGAAACATATATAACCTAACATGACAGAATCATCATGTTAGAGAGCGATGTTTTGCAAGAACATAGTTTAATTTAAAAAATTATAGCAGGAGAAAGTAAATCAAAATGAATACATATATATATATATATATGCGGAATACAATACTGTTCGTTACTTGAAAGGCGAATTAAAAGGTCAAGGGACAAGATTGCATATTATTGTTGTCAAAGTAACTTTAAGTGAAAGTTGCTTGTAATTGGACATTGTTCTGGAAAACACTGGAAAAACATGCTTGGCACAAACCAATTGCACGGGTTTTAGGACCATTTTTTGGAAACATAATTCAAAATGAAGTACGCAATTGTTAAAAATGAAGTGTTCAACAAAAAAACACATACACCCGGTTACCTTTCTATCCATTAATTTTAACTTCTTGATAAATGACAACTACATTCAACTTCAAAGACTTCTTGCCGACTGTTTCTCACTAAAAGTTTTAATGCCGTCATATGTTGTCGCACAATAGTTCTTTTTGCTCAAATGTATCAGGACTTTTTTTTTGAAAATTTTCGGAAGGTCTGATGATTTTTCTGAGGAATTAATTTCTTTTTAAATATTTTCTCAAATATTTACTGTGATTTGCGACAACAATCTTTTGTCGTTCTCCTACATATCTCCGTTATTCTGCTTATTTTATTTAGTGAAATTCTCGCTCAGTGTTTTATATTGGCTGTTATTTGCTTTAACTGAGGTGGTGAATATTAAGTTAATGATATTAAGAGATGAAGAAATAATGCAGCAACAAACACATAGCGTTAACATTTAGATTTCAGCGGTTTCCTCCAGAATCAAAGCACAAAATTAAAGTATCCCAGTTATGCCGGAACCCCTAAATCGCTAAGATCAACAATGCTTCAACAATTTTTGATATCTAATATCTTTACTAAACATTATTCTGCGGAAGTCTGTTTAAATCTGAATTTATTGATATGAGGAAAATTTTGTTGTATTATTTCAATGAAATTATTTTTGTGGTGAATTTGCGTCGTCTCATGAGAATTGTATTATATTTGTAAAGCTGTATTCTCAGTAATAATAGTTCCAATTTTTCGAACTACACAGAAGTCTACTTGATTCATTGTGACCTTCTGAGCAAATTTTTCGATATGCAATTTATTAAAGTCTGATACTGTTATTAGTCTGAAACTATCATTTGAAGATGATTTTCCGTAAATATTCAAACTACAGAAGAAATTGCTCCACTATTTGCACAGTAATGTATGAAAACAGATGTTAAAAGACTTGTAGTCAATTTTTCAAATGATATTCGATAAACTCCAACATTTCTATGAACAATTGGTAGCGAAAGTTGCGAATTTTAGGAAACAAATGTATCAACGCAATATATTTTTTTAATGAGTCATACTAATGAATTCTTGTGGACTTAAAAAATCAATGGATTTATTAAGAACATACCACCAACATTGGAGATTGACGAATGGTTCATTGTAGAAGCAAATGTCGGTGGAGCGCCTGCCTGAACTGTTCGAGCATATGGCTGAAAGACTCGGTAACATTAGGTGTTAGTTCAAATAAATGATTTGAACAAGTAGTTTGAAAATTCAAACGAAAAATTCCTTCTTCGATTAATGAATCACTATTTACTTTGGTTAATATAAATCTATCACAAAAGAAAAAAGAATCAGATGATATTATTTGAAAATTTAACTGAATGATTGTCAATCTTAAAAATGCTGGAGGAAAGTAAGCAAGTATTGCAATTCCTAATTCAGTTTTGCCTCTTTGTTTCTGTAAGTGAAATTCGATAATGAAGAAGACTCACATGAAAAGCATCGTAGGGTGACCTTCCAGTACCAGTAAACATATGATAAGAGCTAAAATCAGGCTGATGTTGTGGTGCTCCCATTCCTAATCCAGCGTTTGCAAAGCTGAAAAAAAAAAAAAAAAACCGTTTGCAAAAGCTCTTTAACATAACGTTGCAAAGATATTTCCGCAAATATTTGCATTTCCAAAATTTCATTTCTGCTCCAAAATTAAATGGTACAAATGCTTGGCTAAAATTCCCTTAAAATAGGCGTAGATAAACTGACCTGTAAGGATCCATTGTAGGTTGTGGTAAAGGATACATTTGTGTGCTGGGAGGAACAAAGCTGCCGCTAATAACCGGATTATTAAATCTTGCTGGTGTAGCAGCTGGACTGCTACCCAGAGGAGTACCCGTGTTTCCAGGATTTAATAAGCTACCTGGAAAAGTAGTTTAAATTATTTCAAAAATTACATGTGTTACGCTTTACGAATAGTACTCGAGCTTACTGCAAATGAGTTTCTGCAATAAAATATATTTCAAGCCAGGCAATCCCTTTTGGTAGAAGTAGGTTATCTTAAGAAAAATATCAAAAAAAATCATAGTGGAAAGGAAGGTTCAGAAAGAGAGAAAGAGAGAGAGAGAGAGAGAGAGAGAGAGAGAGAGAGAGAGGT